AAGCTGGCACTGGGACCTCCCTCCTGAACGGAGCTGCTCAGCTGGGCTTAAAACTCTTCAATAGGAATATGAAAGCTCCATCTGTTCCACGTACCCTGCCCTCTGATGTGACAGCACACCATGCCTCCCCAGCCAGCACCCCTTTCCCCACAGCACGGGCCCTCCTGCCCCTCCTCAGCTCCTGCCCCATCCAGTGGGGCTCTCCCCTGCACCCCCAACCCTCCCCACACCGGTAAGCTCCTACTGCCCAGCCAGGACCCCTTCACCCATGCCAGCTGGTTCATCTAGCTCCTACACCCCCCTTTTTCACATCTGGGTCCCTTTCTTCCCTTTCTCTGAGTGTGTTTCTTCATTGATCCCCATCCAAAGCCAAACCTCAACAGCTCTTTTCCAGTTTGTCGCTGGGCTGAGATGTCCTGTGTCTGTCCCCTATGCAAAGCCCTTTGTTCCCGCGTGAAGGCCCTCCAGGCCCTCTTCTCCCTTGGGGGAGGCAGAGCTAAGCTGTGCCCACCTCAGCAGTACCCCACCAATGGAGTTCATGGGTGAGAAAGTGGTATTTTGGGGACTCTGAGGGGGAGAGAGCCTGAGGCTTCACACAGTGGTCAGGGGAAAGAGGGACAGCAGCCCGGGCTTGTCCACATCCAGTTTGGGGGGTGACAACGCAGCAAAATAGTGAGGTAGCTTTTGTGCTTCTCCTTGCCAGGCCTGGTGGCAGCAAGCTGAACCTTTTGTTGAGAGGCAGGTTTGGTCTCCAGATGCCACGGGGCCGGGTGCAGAGCAAAGGGAGCTGGTGTCTCCTGGCAGGGTGTGGGGAGGGGGCGAGCAGAGTAAATTCCCGGTGGCATTGTTTTCAGAGGAAGTGCTCAGTGTAAATAGAGCATGTGGGAGAGTTTGTCCTGGGCAGAGATGAAAAGTCCCTGTGACAGGCTCAGGTTATAAACGGCTTCCTCAGATTGATGTGAAATCAAAACATTTCTATTTAGACGAAGAAAATGAAGGGGGATGTTTACTTAGCCTGAAATCTTTTTAAACAGTGCGATGGAGACGTGAGGTGATTTGGGGTGGGGAGCTTGGCCTGGGGGAGGGAGGCTATGCCTGGCTTCAGGGGTCCCTCCCTGCCAGACAGTCGTGACCTTGGGCAGATACAAGGGTGCCTCTTTGAACATCTCAATTCCTCTACCTGAGTGACTGAAACACAGATACTCTGGTCCCCTCTGGCCTGATACCATCTTCAGCCTTCCTTTGTGAGAAGGGTTTCCCTTCTGCTTTGGAAATTGATAGGCTAAAAGAGGGGAATAGGAATGTCAGTATAAGTGGTGTGCCTCATGTTACATAGACAAGAAAATAAGGCAATGGAAAGATAAAATTGTGTGTTCAGGCTTGTGAGAATTGGCTGCAAGGTTGGCAGAAGAAACTGGGAGTTCTGATTCCTGCAGCCATATGTGCATAGGTGTGACGGAGATGCCTTAGGGTCCTGGTACCACAGGGCAGGTCCCACCTCAGGAGGGTCTCTGGGAGGGTTAGTTTTATAGATCAGGGGAAAGTATGTTTTCAGAACTAGATTTTTAACTTAAACTTTAGGAAGATTCTCCAGATGTTGAAGAGCAGAATTGCTGTGCTCAAGAAGAAAACCCAGACACAGGGAGAAGGGGCAGGAAAGATGCCTAGGGGAAAGGCAGGAGCTGGGAGGCAGGAGCTGGGGAGGCAGAGAGGCAAAGCCATCACACAGAATGTGTGAGGAGGAAGGAGGCAGGAGCAGGAA